GTGCTTGACAGATTGTGGTGTGGAAAATTGTGCACTGATGGTTTTAATTTTATTAATGAAGAATGTGGCAAAGTCGTCATCTGTTAGAGTTGATGAAGGAGGGGAAGGAGGAGGAAAAAGGAGGGAGGAAAATGTTTAAAGAGCATGCTAGAGTTAGACGAATTGTTAATTTTGTTATGATAGTATGTCCTTTTAGCAGTGGAGACATTAGCAGAGAAGGAAGAGAGGAGTGACTGATACACATTAAGGTCAGTGGGATTTTTGATTTGCGCCATACCCTATCAGCAGCCCTGAGCTTAGAACGATGCTCGCGGAGAACATCAGATAGCCAAGGGGCAGAAGAGGTGGTACGAGCTGTAGATGAAACTATAGCAGATAGCCGGGAGGGTAAGAGTTAGCGTAGGTTATGTCGAAAGATGACATGTGGAGGGGTATGTGTTGTGTCAGGAACCATGTTGAGGTTAAGAGTGAGGAGGAAGTGATCCGAGGTGTGCAGTAGAGTAACCAGTACATGATCAGTCAAGCAGTGTGGTGTGTAAATAAGGTCCAGTTGATTGCCTGATTTGTAGGGATGGGTACCGAGAACCGGTACGTAATTGGGTCGATACCGGAGTACCGATAAGCTTCAGGACAAACGATACTGTTATCGATACTTGCGTTGTTTTATCTCCGTATATTTCAATGTTAATGGCGAGCTAGAAGCTGCTGCTTGTAATTTCCCTTCACTGAATGATGTGGCCGACGTTTGCTTGACGTGCGTGTGATATCCATGCACATGTGTGGTGTGTTTGCGTGCAATCATTCATCGCGGCAAGAGTGAAATGTTCGAAAGTGTGGGCTCACGTTACAAAACTAAGCGACAACAGTGTCAGATGCAATATATGCAGTAGTGTAATAGTGAACAAAGGAGGCAACACTAGTAATATAATGAAACATTTACTAACAAAATACAACTCCTCAAGCAATGCGCTGTATTATGTCTCCCGGCTCCAACTGCAACTCGCGAGACACATTCACATCAAATGTTGATTCGGTAGCGTTACACTAACAAGACACTGCACTTATTCGTAATCACAAAAGTACATTATTTGCGTGCGCTTTAAAGCCTTGCCGGTTAAACGTTTAATTTGCGTGCTGTTCTAACATGTGCTTATTCAGAGCGCGTACACCCGAATCATCCGTACACGGTCAAACAGCACCTGATTACTTAGTTATCTTAGTTAGCGACTGATTGCGCTAATACTCTCAAAAACACACAATATTTGCATATAAACACAGTTAATTATGTCTAAAGTGAAAGTAAACAAAGTAAATTTGTGATCGGAGAAATGACAAACAACAAGCGCTACTCTACACTGCCCAAAACTCACGTTTGAATCATCAGTGGCAAACTCTTTAAATATAAAAAACGTACTTACAGTCTGTGAGTCAGAACAGCCGGCATTGTAGTCTACTCTACCAGGATCAGGAAACAGTCTTCCATAAAATGTGCTGCACACATCTGAATATTTTGGTTGAAGTGTTCTGGAACAGTGTTGTAAATACAACATAACCACTGATTTCTAGTCGTGTCCTCTTTTGGAAGGCCAAACAAAGTAGTTTCGCTTTCACAACGAAACAGCGTCACACACGGCAGGCTAGAGTGAGCGGCGGCGGCCTAGAGTGAGTGGAGGCCGGTGTGCTGAGTGAGCGACGGCCGGTGGGCTTGAGAACGGTGCGGCCGGCGGATTCGACGAAAATTGCATCATATGACCCCTTTAAACAAACAACATAAAGGCTGCTTTAAGAGGTCCCAAAAATGTAAATAAAATTTGACAGACAGGCCATCAGTACCTGGAGATTTTCCCTTTTTCATAGATTTTAGTGCCTCTTCCATTTCAGTAATAGAAAGGTCAGATTCACATAGTAATTTAAAATCCTCATTAATACCCGGAACTTTATCACAAACACTCAAAAGAAAAGAATCACATTTTTCTTGAGAAAACTGAGAAGTATACAATTCTTTGTAAAAGTTGTATACAAAAGTTGAAATCATTCCTGGATCTGTACATAAATCACCATCAATCTTTAGGGCAGAGTGAGATGTTTTTTTACGATTTCTTTTCTCTAGAGCAAAAAAGTAATTAGTGTTTCTTTCACCCTGCTCGATCCATCTTGCTCTAGAACGTATGAAAGCACCTTTAGCAATCTCTGTGTACATATTTTCAATTTTCATTTGACAGACACTATATTCTACCTCATATTCTTTACTGGGATTATTCTTCTGCATTAACACACCTAACCTATGAATAAGTTCAAATTCTTCATTATATTTTTCTCTTTTAATTTGT